AACAGAAGCCATCTCGACTGTCATAACTTTCACCCGCAAAAAAATCAACTTGCCAACGGAATCCAGTCTTCTCTCTCAGAAGCATACGAGATTTCGATTGACCCAGATTCAGATACAATCCAAATTAAGGCAAATTCTGAACCTGGAGCATTTTACGCTGTACAAACACTTTTCTCTCTCATGAAGAAAGAGCAGGACAAGAAAACTAAGTCCGTCGGTTATCGGTTTCCAAAAATAAAGATCATGGATGCCCCCCGCTTCGAATACCGAGGACTGATGGTGGATGTAAGTCGTAATTTCGTCACCAAAAAGGACGTCTTGAAGTTGTTGGATCTAATGGCGATGTATAAACTCAACAAGTTCCATTTCCATCTGACTGATGATGATGGCTGGAGGTTTGAGGTGCCACAGTTCCCAGAGTTAACAAAGGTAGGATAAGTGGGTTGAAAATAGGCCATTTTCACATTTACAAAAGTTATTTCCCTTTGCGGGGTCAATCTGGGGTCAACCGGCAAAAGGCACTGATTTTTTTTCTATAACATTACTAACTTTATGGGGCAATATATTAGAAATGAAATCTGTATGCATGTATATGTTTATTTTGCTTTTTAATGTTGCCCCATATACTGGCAATACAGGTACAGATCGAAATTGTCCGATAATATTTGAAGATTAAAAATATTAACAGGTAACTTACAAAAGACAAAGTGGGAAAAGGGAGCGTTACGCTGACAACGGGAGATAACTCTTAGGAATGTGAAATTCATCTATATGAAGTAAATGTCATAATTTCACTTTGCAAAGCTTACATTAGAAATGCACTTTGCAAATTTTGTCTTCTTTAATTTCAAAGTACATTTTCTTAATTGCATTCTCTTTGCTTTAACAAAACTAAAATAAACTTTCACTTTGCAGAGTACATTGTATAAATGTATCTGAATTTGTGTAATTTATAAGTATCAAATTTTAAATAAAAGATAATATGAATTAATTATAATGTTCATGAATCACCCATACCCACATATTTGCATCCTCATTTCCAATTTCAGCTTACCATTTCAAAAATTCAAAAATTATGCACTCGTGAACCAGAAAATTATTGGTTGCCCATAAACATTTACCCACATGAATTAAAATGATGCCCAGCTACTATAGTTTGGCTTTTAAATTACTAAAGTTTTAACAACATGCACATGCATTGTAATAAAAGGTGGTTACATATACTAAGCTTGTGTTACAAACTGTATGGAATGGATAATAAGGAAATTAATTTTGTCTAATTTTGTAGTTTGCTGCTAATCGCTGTTATGACCCGTCACGTGAAGTCTGCCTTCCACCCTCGTTAGGATCCGGTCCGTATACCAACACATCTGGGTCAGGTTACTACTCCGTACGAGACTACAAAGAGATTCTGAGGTACGCCAAGGCCAGGCACATCCAGGTCATTCCAGAGGTTGATGTCCCGGGTCACGCTGGGTCAGCGGTCAAGGCCATGGAACTCAGATACAAGAGAACGAAAGACGCCAAATATCGCCTCAGTGACCCGAACGACAAATCTCAATACAGGTCTGCCCAGGCACACACAGACAATGCTGTGAATCCTTGTCTGGATTCCACCTACGAATTTTTCAAGGTCATTATACTTCACCTTCATGACCTGCACAAGGACATTCAACCTTTGACCTTTTATATGTTGGGTGGGGATGAGGTTGCCAGAGGAGCATGGGAAAGGTCACCCATGTGTGAAAAATTTAAAAAGGAAAAGGGACTGAATGGTTACCATGATTTAAAGAAATATTTTTTCAAGAGGCTGATGAGTGAGTTGAAGCTGGAGGGCTTGAGTGTTGGATTATGGGAAGATGCTGTTTTAAACGATAACCAGGAGCCACATCCAGTGGAGGAAAGCAAAAAAGGGTAAGTTACGAGGAAGAAAAAAATAAGAGCAGGCCTGGGGCCATAAAACTTAACCGAGCCCACTTTAGATCTCAGTCTCACTTTCACCAAAAGGAATTACTACGTGTAGTATAATAGTTAGACTTGGATCAAAAATGAGCTCATTTAAGTTTTATGGCTCCCAGACCAGGTAATTTTCTATCAATTTTTTTTTTAATTTTTCATAAATTTGCTACCGATAATTTTTTTTCTTCTATTTTTTGTCTGCACTTTCAAATGTTTCTTCTTGTAATGGGAGAGGAAAAAATGACCGGGACCGGGATTGGAACCCAGGCACCTTGAATCTCCATTCAGGTGCTCTACCAACTGAGCTATCCGGCACCGGCGTTCGAACCCGGCTGACTGCCACATTCTCAATCAAACAGTTACATTCTTTAGCTTAAACACACATATTGTCTCTGTGTAGCATGTCACCTAGCTTAGTTGAGAAAAAACTAATCAATATTTAATCTTCTGGTTTATTTATATTGATTATTAATTACAGACAGCTCTACACATATAGTTGGACCAACATCTGGGAATGGAGGAAAGGATCTCTGGCTTACAAACTTGCCAATGCTGGTTACAAGGTAAATAAAAGCCTTACGTTTGTACTTGTCTATTCAGATTCAGCTTAGTCCTGAGGAATACTATAAAAGTAGTTACAGGTCACTTTTGATTTGCTTCACTAAATGATTGAAGTCAGTGTTCAGATATGCTTTAATACTGCTTATAAATCACTTGGCGGTAATTTCTAATTGGTTGAAAAAATTGAATAATTATTTAAAAACAGAGTCATGACCACTGGCGGATTTAAGGGGGGCGTGGGGGGCGCACGCCCCCCCTAAAATTTTCAAAGTATGATGTGACTAATATTTATAATGCCACATTTTGGTACAAAACTAACCAAATAAGTGTTATTCTGCCTGGTTTTATTCTTAAAATACACAAAAATCCAGGAGCTTCCGGGGGCTGCGCCCCCTGGGCCCCCACTATTCAAAGTATGACATGACTAGGATTAAACACGTCGTACTTTGGTACATCACTAACCAATACCACTATTAGTAAGTAATAAGTAAGTAAATCGTTTATTATATAGTGGCATGTGTTACAATACAATGAGAATTGAGAAACATTCAATACATTTATTATTCAAACATCCGGACCTATATGCTATTTACTTTTACCAAATATAATTGAAAAATATGCACTATTATTGTGCCTGGTTTTACATTAAAATACACGAAAACCCAGGATCTTCCGGGGGCTTCGCCCCCTGGGCCCCCACCTATATGCTATATACTTTTAACAACAATAAAATGAAAAATATGCACTGGTTAATATGTGCATGGTTTTACTATAAAATACACGAAAACCCAGAAGCTTCCGCCCCCTGGGCCCCCACCTATATGCTATATACTTTTAACAAAAATAATTGAAAAATATGCAGTATTATTGTGTCTGATTTTACTCTAAAATACACGAAAACCCAGGGGCTTACGGGGGCTTCGCCCCCTGGGCCCCCACCAGGGCTTCGCCCTGGACCCACTGGGGGCCTTAAGGCGGCCCCCAGACCTTGCCTCAACAAATTATCCACGCCCCCCCTAACCACAAATCCTGTATCCGCCCCTGATGACCTTTTTAACCAAGGAAGATTCATGTTCTTTTGCATGAAGTAAAAGTATATTTGTAAGCTATGTAGCTAATCAAAACATTTTTTTCCCAGATTGTTGCCAAATTGTATTATAATTAGTTGATTGTGACTATACCTGTCAGGCATACCAACTTTAGTAAAAAAATGAGTCCACTTTTTGAGCACCTACCCCCTCAAAAAAGAAAAGTTTCGTATATAATTATTGTAACTCTCATAATATGCCAGACCTAATTACTTGGTATTTTACAGGTAGTGATGTCCCCCGCCACCTACTTTTACTTGGACCACCCCTATGAGCCTGACCCTGAGGAGGGAGGTCTGTATTGGGCCACACGGTACATAGACACTCAGACTGTCTTCAGTTATCAGCCTGACGATCTGTACAAGAACAGAGGGACCCAGCACAATGGAGCTCCAATGACAGACAGTATTCTGTGCTCAGGGGGCTGTCCTCCCTTAAAGGAGCCTCAGAATATCAAAGGTATGAGAATCAAGGTACTGAAAGTACTAGGCCTCCTTGCCACCCCCACCCCTAAAAATAAAAATAGATGTGATAATTCTGAGGAAATTTAAAAAGAGGAATATTAAAGGTAAACCAGAGTTATTTCTGTTTTCACTTCCACTGTAAGTTAGGTAAAATTTTTAAGGTTAAATAGCTATTTAATATGTAAATTCTCTGTTATCTTTGGACTTTCAGTAAGGCATGTCATTCATAATTGGCATTTGAAATTTACACAGCTGCTTTCATTCATTGTTGAAATATACATGGGATAGAAATTCTGGTGAAAGTCAACAATTGTAGCAAATATCTAATAACAGCATCTTGTACGGCTAAGAGGTGGGGCTTTAATCATCTCATTGTTGTAAACAACAATTTAAAACTCCTGATGTTATTAATTTCTTAACCAATGAAAATCAATTTCCCATCTGAGAGACACTAAATACGTTGCATTGAGAATGCCACACCTTACTGAAAGTCCACAGATGACAAAAAATTGTAATTTTACAAATTTGTCAATTTGGCTGGTAGACAGTTCTTAGGGAAAACACTGATGATGACATTGAACTGAATGTTTTGTTTTTTTCAAGGAATCCAGGCTGACTTATGGACAGAGAGCATCAGGAATGCTGACCAGATGGAGTACATGTTGTTCCCCCGACTTCTGGCCCTGGCTGAGCGAGCCTGGCACAAAGCACCCTGGGAAAACATCAAGGACCCGACCCGACGGCGTCTGAAGCAGCAGACCGACTGGGAGGTGTTTGTCAACAAAGTGGGTCACAAGGAACTGAGGCGACTGGAGGAGAAGGGGGTCAAATTTCGCCTGGACCCTCCCGGGGCAAGGTACACTGGCAGTAAATGTTTGAGGTCATTTGTGTTATGCTTCTAATGTCTGACAAACAAAATGCAATCAAAGACATCTTTGTTGGGCTAGAACATGACATTAGAGGTTCAAGAAGAATTTCTTATATGTATAGCTTAAGCATATTATAAGTAAAAGAAGGAAGTATACATGGAGTAGGATTTTTTTTCCTCTGGTTGAATTGTTTCAGTTTAGTTCTGAGACATTTTTATAATTCAGGTAATATTGTAAGGTATTGAGGAAGTGGAGTCGAGATATTTTTGTTTACCTGAATTAAAGTACTCGGTGTTTATGAAAAAAAATGATGCAGTGTGGAGGAATATTTTATAGTTTTGAATTTACAAAGTTATGTTTGTTGTTGCTCTCACTTTGAAATGTAATAAGTTAATGTACATGTACCTGGTGATATTTACAGGTTCAGTAACTCAATTTTGGAAGTAAACACAGTTTTCCCTGGAACGCTCACTGAATACAGCTTAGATAGTGGAAAGACATGGAAAAAATATGACCCAGAAATTTCAACTAAAGTCCAACACAAAGGCAGTATTTTGGTGCGATCTGTGTAAGTATATATATTTTTTTTGACATCTTACCTCAGGTTGTTTTAATGAAAGATCCCATGGACAACATTCCTCACCTTAGTGATTTAGCTAGCAAAATGCAGAGATCAGTCTAGCATTGAAAAGAGTAAAATTTTCCAAATGGTTCAACCCTACCACTCCCCAAAAAGTCAATTTAATTAAAAATAATGTTAGATCTGCTTGCATACTCGCTACACTAACATCTAAAAACATCTCATAGAGGGTCAAGTCAAATTTTTAAAAATTCTTTGCAAGAACAACAAAGCCATGATTTATCCTCAATATTAAAGCATCAAAAAAGTATAGATTTAAGTTTGTTCAAATTCAACCCCCCCCCTCTGAAACCACTTTTATATTTAAACTTTTCCATGCTGACATGACTTATCCTTTTACCTAGCCAGTTGCTCAGGTGAGTGATGTGGCCCCTGAGTCTTTTGTTTTTCAGGTCAGGTCATCTAGAGACTTCAGTCAATTCAATTTTTCTTGTATTGAATTCGTTTAGGGAGCCTGGCTTCCAAGTATTTGACTCTCTGGCCTCTGCCAACTTTCCCATTTTTTTGGATTTATCCTTTTTTATCCTATAGAGGAATTTTTGGAATTTGATTTAAGTGCCAATTTCCAACAGAGAAATTTTAAATAAAAAGAAGAAAAGACAATTCAATCTAGCCTCATTATATTCTAAAATCTCGTGTTCCCAGGCAAATCATCCAGATTAGTGATGAATCTTAATTAATGAAATAGATTAGAACTGCTTAAATTTTTAGCATTTAGTAGAGCACAACTTTGAAAATCAATATTTTATTCTTTTTGTAGATCTTTTGATGGAAAAAGAAAAAGTAGAATAGTTTCCTTGGATTGAAAATCATTTTGTCCAGTTTTCCATTTGTGTAAATGTGTGAAAACTTTTTTGATCTCATTTTATAGTATATCTAAGTTCTTTCAATTATATTTATAAATCATTCAGTGCTATATTTATATCTAAACCCTGTAATTTGATATCTTAATTAATTAAATGCAGCATAACTTTCCATCATACATGTACACTTTTATGATTGTATTTGATTGTGAGGATTGAAATGGAGATGTACATATATATGATATGTGTAATTAAGACACATCCATTTTTCAGAATTTTTTATTGTTAATTTTTTCTTCATGTTTATAGAGGTTTATAGCACTTTTTCGCTTCTTGCACATGATGTATACAAATCAAAAGTATTTTTATACACTTTATACTTCATCTATGTTATTGTATAATCTGTGTTTGTTCAAATGCAGTGTATTTATAAAGTGCCATAACCAAATTAGTTAGGCTTTGTAATACCTACCAAGCACAATGTTACTGTACAATCACATTTAGATAGGAAATCAATGTTATACATAGTTAGGAAAAATTTATTATCTGGGACTTGAACCAAGGGCCTCTGGTGTAACTTTGCCAGCTTGCTTTTGCACCACTGAGTTAGTGAGATCTGGAATGCTGATAGGTTGAATGGAATTCCTACGCCTGTTTCTCTAATGACATAAATCTTTCTTGTCACAGGAAGAAACTTTGCCCTTTGGTTTACTGAAAATTGACTGAGAATTTACTGAAAGATTACTTGTACTGAAAAGCAGAGCTGTGCTGTTCAGTACCATAATCAGTGACTTTTCAGATTCATCTTGTGCATATTGCTGTGAAAACTCACTGATTACAAAAAGTTGCTTTGTACATATACATGTATATTGATTGATTAATGATTATTGTTTTATATTGAATCGACAATATTATAGCCATATTTCGGAGGTACATGTATGAATTTAAATGTGGTAGGAACAGTACATAATTATATATTTATTTGTCCTCTACCAGTAAAACTGGAGGGAACTTTGTATAGGTATCTTCCTTGGCTGACTATCTGTGTATCTGCCTATTCCTCTAGCTGTCTGCTTGTCTGTTTAAATTTTGTTTCCCCATCTTTTGTAATCTACATGATTGTAGATACTTAGCTGAATTTTAGTATGTGAGTCTAGGATTTTGAGATACAGACAAAGTTTGTATTCTTTGTCAACTCAATGTTTTTTTTTTTTGGATTTTTTTATGGGGAACCAAATTACACATCTTGGTAGGGTACTAGTATTGCTTACGACAGCAATTTACTTCAAAAGTATGTAGATTTTGCTTATATTGCCACCTTAAAAATGTGTTAAAGGCATCTGTTAAAATATTTGATATTTTTGTTTTGTATCATAGACATCTAAGTAAATTATATAACAATATTTTATTCATTTTTTCTACCAAATTGATATGGATTTATTTAAATGAAGAAAATAGAACCAAAGAAAAAAAAAACAAAGTATTTTTTTTTGTTAGGTAACGTACATTTACATATTTGCAGGGTACAATAATTTACAGTAAAATCTATGGAACGCCGTCACTGCCTTATAGCAGAACACAACATTGCATTGCGTCAACCTTCCACTACATCATGTCAACACTTTATGACATTTACTCACACTACTATTGCATTGTGTCAACCTTCCATTACATTATGTCAACTCTTTATGATATTAACCCACACTACTATTGCTTTATGTCAACCTAGCTTCCATTATATTATGTCAGCTCTTTATGACATTAACCCACACTACTATTGCATTGTGTCAACCTTCCTTTACATTATATCAACTCGTTATGACATTAACCCACACTACTATTACATTATGTCAACTATTTATGACATTAACCCACACTACCCTTGCATCGTGTCAACTTTCTTTTACATTATGTCAACACTTTATGAGATTTACACATACTACAATTATATTTTGTCAACTTGCATTTCGTTATGTTTACTGTTTATGACATGTAATTAAACAACAATTACATTGTGTCAACCTTTCATTACATTACGTCAATTCTTTATGATATTATGTGAAAAGCTCATGTCATACTGTGCGCACTCTTGTACATTATGTCGATTCACTATTACGTTATGCGAACACGTGTATCCTCGGCCTTTATATGAGCATAACGTATTTTCTGCGTTCCGAAAAGAACTAAAATTGGCGGGAGAGAAAACTGTCGTAGAAGAAATTCTCAGCGAATTTGAAATAGCATCTTTAATAAAAACTTTAAGCGACAAATGATTGACAACCTTGAAAGGTGCAAAGCCTTAACACTACGACTGTGCATTAAAGTCACGTCGAAATTCAATGGCGTTTACTTTAATCTGGAAACAAATAGTCGTGCAGAAAATTTTTTCTTTTTCTTTTTTTGTTTTTGTTTTTGTTTTGATAAAAGTCTTAAACTTCTGATCTTACTAAGAATGTTGTCATAAGATTTTTATCAGTCTTTAACTTTCCTTATTTTTAAAAGTGTAAGCACATCGTATAACACACGTGCAGTGGTGGGTTGGGTAGGGGGAGGGGGGCAGAAATCCCGCCCTACCATCTTAAGTGACCAAAATATACAAAAAATTAATAAATTTATTGGTTATACTTTGTAGCACATTGCATTAATTTCACATTAAGTTTAGCTGAATTAAGTTGAAAACTTTTTTTCTATAAAACTATTATATAAAGCCTGAGAGCTTCTCTTTGCATTAATTTCACATTAAGTTTAGCTGAATTAAGTTGAAAACTTTTTTTATATAAAACTATTATATAAAGCCTGGGAGCTTCTCTGCTTTCTTCCTTGGTCTCCAAACATTGGCATCGGAAGCAAATTGAAAGTGTTGGGGGGGAGGGGGGGGGGGCTAAGTGTAAGATTTTTTTTATATACCTTCAAAAAAAAACCAGGAAAGCAAAAAGAAGGGGGGGGGGGGGTAGGTTAAAACTTCACTAGCAATTTTTTTTCCAAACAACACCACTTTCTACATTATTTTTAACCTAAACTACAACGTGTAGGGGGGAGGGGGGCTTAACCTACGCAGCGATGTTCAATGTCTATACTAAGTCTATCTGAGGAAAAAAAGTGGGGGTGGGGGCTATGGTGAGCCCCCCCCCCCCCCCCCCGGTTCCGACGCCTATGCCAACCATATACCGTCCCCCTTCCTTGTTCCCATATCCGCCACTGATATGTGCCCATGCATGCTTACTAAGGCATATTCAATTGATTTAGATGAAGAACTGGTAAATTTTTGTAATAGAATTCTGGCCCTGGAATGATCTAAAAAAATTACTAACTCCAGTGACGTAGCATGATTGAAAAAATTTCTAATTCCAGTGACAAAGCATATTTTTTGAAAGGGGAGGTTAGCCAGAAAAAAAAATATTAATTTGCCCGAAAAAACTTGACAAGCCCAAAAAAATTGTCCAAGCCCGAAAATCCTATTTCGGGGAGGGGTGAGGGGTCAAACTTCGATCAGTCCTAAGTTTTTTTTTTTCAGATACTGTATACCACATTGCCCTCAGTGGACTATACTTCAACAAAAAGTGGGGGTAGGGCTGTACTTTCAGTGAACATTACTTTTTCTCTAGTAAAGTTATGTCTGGGAAAAGAGGGGGGGGGGGGGGGGCTGTTATACTTCCTAATCAATCAGGAGCCCCCCCCCCCCCTTAACAATCTGTAAAACATTCATTATATACTAGATATACAGCTTTGAGATAATGTAAATGTATTTTTACATCAGGTAATGCACTTTTGGAATCAACATGATAAAGATTTAACACAATATAAAGCTATTTTTAGATTACATAAGAAAGAGTTGACATAACGTTAAAATATATCCACATCACGGTATGGAGTTTTGACATAATGTAATAAAGTGTTGATATAATCTAAAGATATGTTTACATTATGTCATACACTTTTTACACCACGTAATAACGCACTGACATGAAGGTAAGATGTGTTTACCTCACATCATGATGCTCTCGCCGTAAAATAAAGATAAGTCCATATCACGTAATAATGCTTTGATATAATAGAAATATACACTCTCAAAAAGGAATGGATTTTTGACTTCATGTAATGATAAGTTTAATTATAAAACACAATTTACTTGACGTAATGCAATTTTGACCTCACATATTAAAGAAATGAAATGATGTAAAGAAACATTCATTTCACGTAATAAAGTTTTAACTCAATGTAAACACATTATCACTTCACATAATTAATTTTTTACTTCAAGTTATGAAGTGCTGACATAATGAAAGGATGTATTTACTTTATGTAATGCAGCATTGGCATGATGTTAAGATATTTTTCATCATCTCATAAAAAATTGACATAACGTAAAGATACGTTCACATCACATTATGATAAATTGACATAATAAATGCATAGTTGTATGCTATAAGGCAGTGATGGCGTTCCATAAAAATCTATAAATTTATTTTTGCAATTCAATTTTTAAACTCTTATCTTACTGTTTATCTGTTTGGGAAATTTGAATCCCACATACATGTGTTATTTGTCATGTTGTTAAAACTGGTGACTTCATTTTTTCTTACCACCTTAAAGTTCATCCACAATTATATTATTATATTATTTCATTTTTGTATATTATTATTTTTCTTTTGGAAGGAGGTTCAATTTAGAAAAAAAGGAAAAAAAGAAATGGGTATTTTAAATTCTTTCCACTTGTCTCCATATGATTTTTCCCCCAATCCTAACAATGTTTATACATGTATACTATGATCATTATTCTGGGTGTATAATTAGCTCACCTGAGCTGAAAGCTCAAGTAAGCTTTTTTGATCACCCTTTGTCTGTCGGTCTGCCTGTCCATCTTGTCTGTAAAGTTTTTGCATTTCAAATTCTTGTCAAGAATCACTGGGCAATTTTAACTAAACAAAGCATGGGTAAAGGGGAGTTTAAATTGTCAAAGTGAAGGGCCAATTCTCCTTCCAAGGGGAGATAATTAAGAAGAAACCAAAAACGAGGGGATTCATTAAAAGTGTTCGCAAGAATCACTGGGCCAGAAAAGCTGAAACTTATGTGGAACCATACTATAGTAGTGTAGATTCTAAATTGTTAAAATCTTGACCCTCGGGGGTACACTGGGGCCACAATTGATGCTCCAAGTGAGAGAATCTGTTAAAGAACATCATGCCATTGGCCAGTTACTCAGGTGAGCCATATGGCTCATGGGCCTCTTGTTCATGATTCTACATTCCAATTATTTTCTAAATGATTGTAAATGTATTGATCGAAAACATTTATATATTTTTGTTTGGCTTTTAAATTTTATTTTTCTGTGTGTACATTAAGTGTCTGTGAAAACAAAATGATTTAACTAAGGCCATCTTTAAAAAATAATTGTTTACCCTCTCCTAACTGGCGTAAAAAAATGGGTTGATGTAGGTAGATGATTTTTTTTTAAGTTTTGAAATACTGGTTGATGGAGTGAAAAAAAAAAACAACATTGTATCATGATATGAAAAGGAAAAAAATATTTTGAAACCCAAGGGAGCAAACAGTTTTTTTTTTAAAGATGGCCATACCGAAAATATAATTGGTAAATAAATTCGGAATTGACTATGAAATGCAATATTTAAGAATATGAACTTAATTGAAGAGAGAGAATGCCTTAAATAAATATTCTGATTTTCATGTATGATCATGTTTTAAATGATTGTATAAATATACACAATGTAACCATGAAGTTGCTTAATATAGTTACATGTATATCTAAAATAATGTATCTAAAAAGTGATGCGTCTTCTTTTTAAATGTCAGTTGAAAATGATAGATAAGCTTGTACTTGCAGTTATTTTGTTGTTTTATTAAATTTTGTGGGTTATTATATGGGAAGAAGATAAAATAAAAAAGATGTAAAAAATAAAATAAAAAAAAAATTGCATTTCTCGAAAGTATTTGTAAAAAAAAGAAATATCAGTAACCAAATCTTCTATTTTCTTTTGAATCTTTCTAGAGCTAAAAAGTCATTATAGGCTAAAAGCAGAAACCTTATCCGCTTATTCCTGTCTCTATAAAGAAGTGGTGCATCCCCTTAATTCATGTAAACGTTCTATTATACCATAAACCAAGATGTTAACAGTTGTAAACCCCTCCCCCTATCATCGATTGCAATGATTTTTTGTGTGAAGGAATTTCTAATTTATAACCCCCCCCTCACCCCAACTTGACGCATTTTTTTTTTTACCGACGGGTGGCATACATGTAGTATGAGAGTAGAGGAACTCGGTGAGTTTTAAACATCTATATTTAATTTTCTTGACTTCCTCTATAAACTTAGAATATTGCAGTACAACATAAGAAAGTATACATTCTTTGTTAAGATAATCAAATATTACTCCAGGTGTTGAGCTTTTTCAGAAGATGAAAAAATAAAAAAAAATTAAACAACAACAACAACATACATGTACACATGTATTCATTTAATATATTATTGATTTATTCAAGCAAATGTACACATTTACAAAGGTGACACACTGTAAATTTTTAATGCGATGATGATGAAGTCATTCATATGACTTGAATTCGAGGTTTGTTTCAAACGGGGGGGGGGGGGGGGGGGGCTCTAAAGTTCTTTTAAATATTGTGTTTCTATTTCACAAGCAAAGCTCGAACATAAAAGTAAAATCTTTTCAAAAATATAATTAAGGCACCTTTCATTACCTAAAATCCTTTCAGATTTTCAAACCAACTGCATACATGTATATTGATATGTTTGGGGCAAAAAAATAGACAATCCCCCGGACATGTTTGGGGGGAAAAAATACCATCCCAGAACTGTGTAAATTAAATGGCAAAATTAAATAAACGAATTTTAATCACAGTCATTCGAATGTGGTTTTACATAAAAAAAAATCAAGTTCATGTTTAAACATGAATTTTTCCCGAAGTGTGTTAGTCTTTGTCTACTGTGCAATCAGCACGAGAACCAAGAGTCACGTGTCCACAAAAACTAATTTCCCTGTGATAAAATTTCCCAGTGCACTAGGGTCATTTGACCGGAAGTAGTCAGTACACAGTTTTTTGTAATATTCAAAGTCGATTTTCTTCTCATTATTCTACAAAAGATAAAAAAGCTTATTGGTTTATGTGGCTCAAGAAGTCAAAATAGATACTATAAAAGGAAATCTTTCACGTTAATCTTCATACACGTATCTATAGCATATATGTATAACAGTAACTGAATTTATAATCACTTTTTTTACTTTCAATCCTATATGTAATTTCTATGAATAAAATTTCTTTTGACTTTGTACCCCGGGCTCTAAACAAGTGCATGCTCTTTACTAGGTGAACAACTGAATATAGTAGCTAGATATTTGCGAACGAAGTTACCCGACTGCCCCCCCCCCCCCCCCCCCCAAAAAAAAATGATAAAATCATTCATGCTTGAAAGTTCTCTTACTTTGCAGAACAACCAGATGTAATAGGAATTTCAAAGAAAATGACACAATTTTACTTTAGTCCAGTATTCAAACCCAAGTCCATCATAACAGTTATAACAGCTACTGCTGTAATTGAATTATCGGGCCACATGCAACGTAAACCGTATGACCGCCGCTTATTAATTAAAATATGGCTTATTACGAAGCCCATTTTTACCTGTTTTTGAATCCCATGTAAATATGAATATAAAAGAATTTTTTTTTTCGTTTCAACATCGACTCAATTCGACTAATTTCTAGTGCATTCACTGAGTACGAACTTTGATGATCAGTGTATATAACGAATGCATGATTTCCCTTTCTAGATCTATATTTGTTATTTCCCCTATCTTACAACACTTTAAATTTACCTTTGAGATCATGAGGAAAGCAGAACGAGCATCCTTAGCCGGAACTCCGAAATCCCCCAGTACATATTCAAACTCGTCACAGTCTATATTTCCATCTCCGGTCCGGTCAAAGAGGTCAAACTTGTACCGGATGTAGTTCTCAAGCCATTCGGGAAGCTTCCGCTCACTCGGAACCTCATCGTCTTTGTTCCCCTCTTTGATACACTGTTCACTGAAGTTCTGCCACATCTTCAACTTTTTTTAAAAATAGAGACATATAGAATTGATTGTGTGAGATGCATGCCCTAGTTCTAGTGTAATTATACAATTCATGCATCATAATTTTCATTTGCAGTCATATGACTACATATTATCAAATTTGAGAGAATTACAGTACCATGAATAAAATGCGGCATATCAAAATCAGTTGTAATAAAAAATAAACCATTGTAAAAAAAAAGTGAACTTTAATCAATGTTAAACCCATTCTTATTTTAGTTTTATAGATATACCAGACATAATTAAAAGTTACATTAAGCTTTTACAAAAGTTAAAACAATCTGTGGAACAATGTATATGTAGTCGTTACATTACCCATTCCTCCGTTGTAATGAGTCCATCGTTATTCTCGTCACCCTCGTCCTGCAGTTTCCTCCAAATTGTTACAAACAGCTCGTGTGTTTTAATGTATTTATCAGTCCCTGGCTTCCAACCGCTCATTTCGCATATTTTCTTAATGAAAAAATAAAGTTTTTCAAAATTCACAATCTTTGAAAAACAACATCGATTTCTGTATGTTAAGGTTTCTGTCAAGTCAAAAATTACTTCATCAATTAAACTGATACTTAATGATAAAATGAAATAATTTTGTGATTTTTGACTTTAATTATATTTGCTGTAAATTATGCTTGTAAATAACGCAATGTATTTATTAAGTGCCATAACCAAATAAGTTAGGCTTTGTAATACCTACCAAGCACAATGTTACTGTACAATCACATTTAGATAGGTAATCAATGTAATATAATATAGTGAGGAAAAATCTATTATCTTGGCCCTGAACCCAAGGTCCTGGTGTAACTTTGCCAGCTTGCATTTGCACCACTGAGCTAATGAGATCTGGAATGCTGATATGTTGAATGAAATTCATGCACCTGTTAATCTAATGAGATAAATTTGTCCTGTCACAGGAAGAAAATCTGCCATTTGTTTAACTGAAAGTTGACTGAAAATTTACTGAAGGGTTACATGTACTGAAAGACAGAGCTGTGCTGACCTTTCAGTAGAAATCGTGGTTTGGATTCATCTTGTGCATATTGATGTGAAAACTCACTGATTATAAAACAGTTGCTTTGTACATGTATATATATAATATTGATTAATTAACGATTAATGTCTTACATTGAATCGGCAATATTTCAGCCATATTTTGGAGGTACAAATTTAAATATGGTAGGAATAGTACATGTATATTTATTCATCTCCTACTAGTGAAACTGGAGGGGACTTGGTATAGGTAATTTGCTTGTCTGTGTCTGTGTATTTGTCGTTTAATAATCCTCTACCTGTCTACATGTCTGTTTAAATGTGTTTACTCCTCTTTCTCCATTTACATGATTGCAAATACACTGTACAGGCTGATTTAAGTATGTGAGTGTAGGTTTTTGAGATACAGACCAAGTTTGTATTTTGTGTCATTTCAATGCATTTTGTTGGAATTTTTTCATGGGGAACCAGGTTACATTTCCTTGTAGGGTACCAGTATTGCTTACGACAGTGATTTAATACTAGTACTTCAAAAGTATGTAGATTTTGCTTTTATTGCCACCTTAATAAATGTGTTAAAGGCATCTGATGAAATATTTAATATTTGTGCATTAGAGGAGTCAATGTTTAGCATGGAAACATATGACGTGACGGAAATAAATATCCTCTCACATTTGTCAAATAAACCAATGAATATTTAGAAATAGTAATTAATTTCACGCCTTTGTGAAATACCTAGTATTATATTCAAAAGACTTTGTAATATTAATCTTATATCTCATTCTTTCAATATTGAGTTTGTTTGGTGAGAAGGATTTGGATATATGACGAAGTCTCTTATAATTAATGCGATAAAAATATAATATATTAAATGTAATATAATTTAATATAATATAATATTATATTATACAATTATTGCTGGTTTTTGAGGTCAATACAATGATTTAGCCATCTGAGGAGTACAATATTCACCAAGCCCGAAGGGCGAGGTGAATATTGTACTTCGAAGATGGTTAATTCATTGTATTGACCAAAAAAAAAAAAAAAAAAAAAACAGCAATAATTGTTTTATTGTATGATTCACTGATAAAATGATCATTACTTGTTTGCATTTTATTAAGTCCTAGCCAAATACAAGAGAGAAGCAGAATTAAAATGTGAATAAACCTTACCAGTCGTATCAATTTGAAATGTTTTTTTTTAAATCAATTTTAGTTGCCATGAAAGAAATATATAATGTCAGTCTTTTTTATAGGATAGATTTTGAAAGGAAGGAGTATTATCAGGAAAAACTGCCAAAAAGTTTAAAAAAAATGTTGTTGAGTAAAAGTGTTGGAGGGGGGTCCCTGCATCCCCTCTTACCACCCTCACCTAAAATATATATTTGCTATGATTTGTTCACATGAAAATAAAAATCATAGTCATTTAAATAGCTTTCTAAAACAATTTGTATCAATTTGGTATTTTCCAATCTATTTTTAGACCAATGTAGAGGAAATAAATCCTTGTATTGACCTGGAACGTCACGTGCAGGTCAATACAACGTAATATTTTCTAACATAGTTGGATCTCAGCCAATCAGAGAGATGGAAATTATTCAATCATATAATAAAATATAATACAATATATGTCACAGTTGTAATTAAATTATAATTATTATCAAATATTTACTTTGATGCTTTGCGCAATATTAAGTACGTATTCTGATTGGCGCGCATAGCCAATCGAATACAACCGGTTTTGCATGTATGTGAGAGCCATGTACGAGTGTTTTGTTTTGTACAGGTGAATTTCTATTTTTAGCATTTCCTTTACGTATGACTCACCAGTGACCTACCATGGACCAATGGATTTCGTTATACTAATTAATATGCATGATTTACTAACCCCTGCACTATATAGAGTAAGAAATCCGCCGAAATCCCCACCCCCAAGCACTGCAGCCTTTACGATAGCAGATTGCTTATATATATCATCACAGATCGATTCATTCGATGTTCAACGTATATTATCATTTCTTATTTTATACTGGATGCCTGGTAAGATGTTCATTAATCTTGTAATTCATTTACTTGTTTAATTTATGTAACGATCTTCTGGCATGCAGTCGTTTGAATATCTTATTTTATTATTACTTTTCGTAAATGTTGAAATGTCTTTTTGTTTCATGTTTGTCTATGTGTATTGTTTTGTATGAGTGTTGTGAGAGTGTTTTTCTATTTTCTAGGTTTTACTTTATATCCAGTAATAAATTGTAAAATGACCCAACCAGTTTTGTTATAAATACTTCTAACAAGTCCTTGACCCTGTGACATATAATATAATATAATATAATAATATGCCTTAAGAAGAGTGAAAACAAAATTAAAAACATTTCTTAATCACACAAGATTAAGAAAATCTAATAAAATAAGGATTGGATGAAATATGAATAAAAAGACACGAAGCTGTGAATTTGTCTCTGTATAAAAGTCAACAATTAATTTCGTTATCCATTCCTTTGAAACACTTGAAACAGCAGTCATGGCGAAAAATATTACAAAAACTGCCGCTGAGATTGCTAGAAAATACCAGTTGGATTTCCTCTTAACTGTTCAAAATGATGCAATGATGATGCGTTTAGAGGGTTTTTATGGTGAGTGGGGTTTGTACCTTGCGTCCAATGTTGCGCCGTATGTTTGGATTGTGCCATTACTTACAACTATCCTGTTGCTGATAGTGTTCAGGAGGACTCGGCTAAATGGACCCACTCAGAAGTGTTTGGCTTGTATTCTCGTCGTCGATGATCTCTACACCGCCTTCTCCGGGGTCAGAGACGGGGTGTTCAAATTAATGGATGCTAACTATGGATTTCTTGAATATCGAATATGTCGATTCTTCATGATAGGATGCCGGATCCTGTCTGTTCTACACGCTACATCTCTGTGGATAAAAAGTTTCATGCTCATTCATCAAATATGTCTGTTCCTTTTCCCATTTAGAGTCAGAATGATTAACTTCAAAAGGATCCTCATTCCTTTAAGCATATTTCATGTTGTTATTTGTGCCCTATTTTGTTATGAAGTTACTCTTATTCCCGTCAAAGGTATTCCCACAATTCAAGATTTCGTGCCGGGACGACCACTGAAGAAAATAATCGCATGTGCATATGATGAAGAAAGTGAAATTGATCAAAGTATTTATAATCCAATACTGGCCCATCTGGCACTTGTTGTTCAGTTTTACTACAGTTCAGCTATTCCAATTTTCATTAATTTTCTCTGTACCATTGGTATGGTTATTCTTGTCAAGAAGGAGATTAGGTTAGTTTCTCGAATGCAGCAAAATAAAAACTCGTCGCAGACAAAATACATCATTTTAATGAAAGTCACATTGGTATTAGGCATATCCTTTTTGATCCAAGAGATCCCAGTTATGATAGGTTTATTCTATGTTTTACGGATACAGTATATGTATGGTTCGGTGTCCGAAAAACTCTTTGAAGAAACGGAGAAAGCAATTGGAGTAGCATTATTTCACGTATGTTTATCCTTTTGGCTAGGTAAACCTATAGATTGTATTGTTTATGCTAGTCTGAGTAAGGTTGTCAGGAAGGACCTCATGAGACTTTTTAGGATTGATCGAGTCATAAAGTCAATATATAGGAAGACGGAAAAGAGCGTACAAACAACTCAGACACACAGCACGCATAAACTGCAAGAAAGTGTCAAGAAATGAAAATACGAGACCCGCACAAACACGTTTTACCCATTCCGCGCTGGAACTTATGACAAGAAAGCAATCAGGTGTTACACATGCGAAGGGTGTACTATAGGGCTGATATCGGACATGGTAAAACAAATATGGCGTATGTCTATTTAATAGTCGTGACTCTTAAAATTAAGTTTAAGTTTCTATTTTATACATGTAAGATGCTTAATATGCATTAATTGTGTCATTGATTGATATTGTTTTAATTTATTACTTGACCACTGTAAAAACAATGTAAAACTAGAACAAGTAACCCTATTTGTTGTTTTTGCAATGTATGATATGTCTGTTTTACAATAAAATAATAAGAGAGAATACAACTTTTCTCTATAATTTGACAGTTGGTTTGCTAAGAAATCAACGAGGTCCAGTGAATCTACTTGGTCTGTGCATATGTTTTCATGCAACATTGATTATATCAAGCGGGAGGGTATATAGTAATCGGTATGTCCGTCCGTCCATCTGTCTCTACGTCCGTCCATCTGTCTCTACGTCCGTCCGTCTGTCTGTCTGTTACGCTGTGGGGTACCCATCATTTATCCGCAACTCCTCTCATACCATTGAATGAAATTTGATGAAACTTTCTTAGAATCTTTATTACATATTGCTATTGTGCAACTCTTATTTTACTTTTTCATCTGACACATATTTTGGGTTTCCCACAACAACACATTGACACTACTATTTTATCCATATGGGAGATTTTAATTAAGACG